CGGCTGCTCGTGCCCGTGTAAATTTTTCACCGCTCCCTGGCATGCCGTTTGCGCGAATTCGTTCACTCGTACGTTGGCCGTGGATTCGTGAGAATAATTGAACGTTCCGTTTTATCGAACGCGCACGGTTCGAAACAGTCTTTTTTCCTCGAGTTCGTCGTGCGCCGCTGTCAACCTTGAATTTATAAATATTCGTCTCTCCGAATATCTGTCTGTCTATCCGCGCGAACGCGCACGCGCTCGAATAGCGTTACACCGAGAGCGAGGTAATTGCAAATGCCGAAAATGCGGTGAAATTTATCTTTCTAGTAAGTAATTTTTCTCGTGACACAATCGGAGTCTGAATTTCTCTCTGTTCGTATAACAGATTACGTGTACGCGAGTGCAACAGATGGATGAATATTTATGAATAACAGCGTTCTTGAGAATCGACTCGTGTAGCGATGAACATTGATAACTTGAAAGTCGAACGTGCGGTGAGTAATTACGAGAGTGTTTCATCATTTTTCTCCGCGTCGAACGTAAGAAGTTCGATAAATAATCCCGATGATTTTCGACGAAGGATCACGGAGAGGAAATTTCTGTTTCTCCCTCGCGCGGTGATTCGTCGTCGCGTCGGTCGGAAAAGACCGAGTAACGAGAGCGTGGAACAGTGAATGAATCGTGTGTGGTTCTCGATGATGCTAGCGCGCACGCGACCGCATATTGCACACGAGTAATTGCACACGAGTGCATACAAATGTTTGCGAGCTGTTAATTTCGCGTGTTATCCGGTTTAATTGTCGCTTTTCGTTCCCGGTAAGGTCGTCTCGATCGAGTTTTATGTCACGAGATTTTAATTTATCTACCGACGAAAAGAAAGGAAAATCGTCCTTAACATCTTCATTGACGTTCGAAATGACGTTCGAAATGACGTTCGAAATACGTAGATGTCGATAACATTATCGATGCCCCGGTACTCGTCGAAAGTGGCGATTTCGATTGATTAGAGAGTTATCAGTCATTAACATACTTCTATAATCGTGCTTTCGTAATTGAGAAATCTAATATACTCGATGGTAATCCCCGATAGCTGTATCGTCGTTACATCTACTTCGATTCGAAACACTGAATCACGATTATTTAATAGATTTCGATTACGTACCGTTTCGACGGTACAGTCGAAACCCTCCTTGTATTTCGATCGCGTCTTTTTTTCAACGAAGCATACCCTATCTCCGAAATTACATCTCCGATAGAGCACTTTGAGCGAATTAGAAGAGACTTTCTTCTCTTCGCTTTCGGCTAGTTTTTCGGCTTCGTGTTCGGATCGATCCGACGCGCGTGTCTCTTTCAACGTCGACGAGTCAATGGAACAGATTTCTTTACGATTTAACGACTTTTTCGATGTCAGGAATACGAAAGAATATTTAAAAAAGAAATAAGAAAATAATCGATAGCGATGCTTTGCTCGTGCTTGCACGTGTGCACGATGTATCTAAAAATTGGTTATATCGACGATGGATCGGACAAAAGGATTTTCGGGTTACAAAACGTACAAAGTGAGGAGCCGCGTTGTATCGAGGGGCTGTGTGCGCTTCCTCTCAAATGGGCATACTTTGACCCTTAGTTTCATAGATTTAAAATCAATGACGAAGCATTAACCGATAAACTGGACTTTTAGACCGCGTATTCGAAGCAAAAGGCATTTTCGTACAGACGTTTTAATTAATTTTATTCCCGCGATACTTGTCGACAGAACACTAGAAAAGGGAAGATTTCTCTGTATCCGAATATTTCTAGATAGCCAGATGTCTAGATAGGTAGTTAGAATTAAATAGGTGTCTGTAAAATTACAGAAATAGATGCGGGTCAGTATCAGTATAAATACGTGGTTGGTTGCTGGCACGTGCGGTCATGGCTGATCCCTGAGAGGCCGCTAGGAGGAAGACACACACGGGATTGTAAATTCTTTAAGGGTGGCTCCAGAAATAAAAGAGAGACACGGTACGCGTTGCACGATGCACGGGACACGCGCGAGCGGCCTGTTCTCTATCTGGTTCGAACACGTGAAACACTAATTATACACGGACCTGTCCGTGTAGCGAGCAAGTTGCATCGAAACAGAACGATTTTATCCGATTCAGTGAAGACCGATCCCGTGAGGCATTATAATTAAAGGCCGAGGAGTTATTGTTGGACGTTACCGGTCGCTAGAATTCCCGGGATCATGGATGAATCGATTGTCGTTCGCGCTTCGTCGGCTTCGATATCATTCTTATTTTTTTTTTTTCTATGCTCTTCTCGAAAAGAAGGTTATCAATTTGTCGGACAAGCCGAGTTTCGATGTTGAAACAACGTTGTCTGAAAATAGGGCCAGTTACCACCTTTACGCTTAGTAAGGCAGTAGTTAGTCTTCCCATGAAATCAGCTTCTAATTAAGGAAGCCCTCCCCTGGTCAACAACTCCACACGCATCGTGGATGTATACGTTGAAAAAGAGAGATTACTCGATTTCTCTGAGGTCTGTGCGTCATTAACGGCACGGTGCGAACAACGAAGGAGGAAGAAACGGTTCTGCCGTTTCGAGAATTCTTCGAACGTAAGAGCGTATAGATTATGAAATGCGAAGCTATATCTGAAAGTAGTTCGAACGTAATAACGTCGATGATAATGGATAACGTGACTTTCGATCGTTTCGTTGGCAAAAAAACAATTTCCTCGACAGTGCTTCTATTTTGTTAAAACGCTGCGCCGCGCCGCGCCGCGCCGGTTAGAGAATATTCGACGCGAGACCGAATATACTTGTATGTATACATTAAAAATAAACGGATAGCGATAAATTGTGCTTAATGGTCGAAACAATTGATTGCGAAGAGTCGAAAGTTCAATAACAAGAATTTCTCCGCGATCGTACACTCGTTCGAGAACTCGAACGGGTGTAAACAATATGGAAGGAAATCCGCGTGAAAATAAAATAGCGTGAAAATAGTTGGAATTGGACGATAAAAGGGAGATTTCTTCTCTCTTTTCTCTTGCTTTGCCGCTCTGTTTGCTAAAGTATCGACTGTGTGTGGTGGCGATGGTGGTGGTCGGGGCCCTTCGGCTCAATCGACGATATCGACGCGTATACGTACCTACTCTCTCTTCTCCAGACCGAAATCTATATAGAACACAGAAAATATCTCTCTTCTCCACGCGGCCAAGGAAATGGCCTCTGACCGCTTCGAACAATTCCTTTCAGTTAAATGACGCTCTTTAAGCCAGAGAGGCTATTGGACAGAGAGAGAAGAAAGGACATCGATTATTAATATATCCCCGATGATGAAAAGTCGAACCGATCGTGTCACGATCGCGAATTCTTTTTACCGTCCTAATAAATTGATCGGATAATTCGTCCCGCGAACACCGTTCAAACGAGTTCAGCTCGGTTAGATCACCGCGAGTTTTCGTCCTTGTAACGATGATGATGAATGCTGTCGCCATCGGTCGTTATAAAAAGGAATTTACTGTTAAAACTTGTTGTTTAGCAGAAGGTTGGTCGTGTAATAGGATGAAAATAGAGTTGTGAGTAAAAATTACGTAAACGCGATGAATGAATCAGGTTGAACTTTCCAAGTGAAAATGTGCGCGAGTGCTTCAGTATATCGCGAGACTCGAACCGCGATGCATCGGCTTCGTTGAATTCCGCATTGTGTATTCTACGTTCCACAACATCGTACATCGCATACGTATATTGCGAAACGCGTGTGCGCGTTCGTCGCGACGAAACACGTTTCTTCGCTACAGGACAGACTTCTTCTGCGAAAAAGATTAATTAAATTGTTTACCAACGTAATTTTCTATATAACCTTTTCTCCTTATTCGAGCTTTTACGCTACGAAAGCTCTCGTGCGACTTCAGCAACTTTTTTTTCCGATAGAACTTGAAACCTTCGCTGAAATATCTGCCTTCTTCGAACGAACAAATTATTTCGAAAGTTTTTAAGAGAAACTTCTATAGACTCGGATTCGGCGCGAGATCGTTACGCAGAGCTGTTCTGTTATCGATAATGTCGTTAAGATATCGTTAAGGCGAATAAATGACTTAAATAAAATGTAACGATTACTGACCTAATCTAGCCTGAGGCTTTAAGCGTAACCTAACGTAATTTAACCTAATTAATTTCAACGATAAAACCTAATCCAACCTAAACCGCGATACAACTTTATTCTTGAAATTTTATTATTTTCGCAAAATTACGTATCAGTTTAGGTTAGAGGAGCTAAGACTAGGTTAAATCGGCTTAGGTTCAATTTGAAATTTCAATAGGTATAAACAGATATTGGATCAGTAAAATTAGTAACATTCGTTTCTATCACAGCCCACGAGTATTTTACCGCTATTCTCTCTATTACTGATACATATCGTTTATATATCGGTACGATATCGATAGTGCACCTATAATCGATAACGGTAGAGCTCTAGCGTTACGGCTAGCTGTCGATTTCGAGTGTTGCGTATTCCAAGAAGTGCATACGCGAATTCATGAACTTTCGAATCGAATCAAATTTCCAGATCCTCGAATCCTCGAATTTCCTCGAATTTCCTCGAATTTCCTCGAATTTCCTCGAATAATCAATGGAAAAGTTGAAAAACAAAGCAACGATCGTGCGCGCGATACATTTTATTCGGACCCCGAAATTTTACAGATTAGATAATTTATCGAAAGTTTAGTGTTTGCTTTTGTGACATTGTTTTATTCGACGTTGAACGGTGATACGGTGGAAGCTGAAGGAAAATAGTGAAACTTTGCGCAGTACGTGCTCGAGCAGCTAGAGGGCAACACGAATCGATTACTACTTTGCTAATGGCTTATTTCACTTAACACGCCTTTCCGTGGTGAACACGTTCGCTACTACTGGTGTGTCACGATTAGGTTTTCGTGTTAGAGAGATTGACAGGAAAGAATGAAGTTCCGTGACTCGTACCAGTGAAGAGAGATCGGTTTGCATGCCAATTGGCGATCCGCTCTCGGCGTCAACACGTAAACTGTCACCAGAAGGTAAACGGGTATTCTCTGTTTCTTCTTGTCGTTCTGTCTCTTTTCCACGGTCAATGTTATTTTTAGATAGCTATCGCCTCTGTTCGTTCAATCAGACGATCCCATTAGTCTTCTTCGGTGTGACATCATTTCGGAAGCGAATGTCTAGCTCTTTTTATCGCTGCGGATCTTCCCTCGGTAATGACTCATTTGTCAGGATACATAACCTCAAAAATGTGTCGGCGTTCGATGACAGCTACGCTTCGTGACTGATTTTTTACCGTTATAGATTCGTTTACGACGATTTTCCTCTTACGCGCTACATATTTTTTAACCATTTCTATCCTTCGTTGTCCCGAATCGATAAAATTAACTTTTCTTTAACAAATTTCTTACCCTATCTCTGAAAATGTTTTCGATTTCGTATACATTCGTTTACATTCGTTTACGAGCTGATTGCTTTCATTTAGAATTACCTTTTCTATAGGTTATTATGAAAGATCTTCTTTCAAGAGATCAACGGAGTACTATCGAATGAAATTACTTGTTTCTATCTGTCAACTTTAAACAGTAAATAATTATCGATGCAACTATGACATAATGACCCATCTGTTTAAATAACCGTGACGTACGTTCTACCACTGTTATACGCTAAGTATTTATGCCGTAATTGGTATTCGTGTCGGGTCTGTAAAAATCATACATAATTAATACGCGTAAAAATGGTAATACCGTATGATAAATATAAGTTAATACGATTAAGACGATAATTTAAGAAGCATTATTGTTTATTCGTTGGTTACAGCTGTTGGTTCTCCAATTTCCTGGAGGCCGGTGGTGTCAGTGACACCAGAGAATAATACGAGCTGCTAGCGTGAAGAAGTGTACAGTAGAGTTGGCTTAGGCCAACGCCGGTGGACGAGGCAAAATGGCAACGATAGATGGCCGACCGGCCCAATATGGTATCACTCTTAAGCAACTTCGTGAGCTCATGGAGCTCAGAGGACGCGAAGGTGTCAATAAAATCAATAGTTACGGTGGTGTGCAGGAGATTTGTAAAAAGCTATATACTTCACCTAACGAAGGTACAGATTCTTTAAGGTTTTATATTTTTTCTTTAAGTTAACTTGACTAACAAATATTTCTGTCGTTTAGGTCTCAGTGGATCGGCAGCAGATATCCAGCATAGACGTGACACGTTCGGTTCCAACTTAATACCTCCGAAACCACCGAAAACGTTTCTACAGTTAGTATGGGAAGCTTTGCAAGATGTTACGTTAATCATCTTGGAAGTAGCGGCATTGGTCTCGTTAGGTCTTAGCTTTTATCATCCATCGGACGAAGAAGAACAACGTGAGTACGAATTATAAAAAAAGCTGATAGTTCAACGTTAAAAGTATATGTTTCTATTTAATTAGAAAAGTGAATCGACTTATCAGAAAATTTTCTTTCCTACGAATTTTCAGCTTCGATCGATGATGACGAAGCAAAATACGGCTGGATCGAAGGACTTGCTATATTGATTTCTGTAATTGTGGTCGTATTGGTAACCGCTTTCAATGACTATTCTAAAGAAAGACAATTCAGAGGTCTTCAAAGTCGAATAGAAGGAGAACATAAATTCTCCGTTATTCGACAAGGAGAAGTTAAACAGATCTCTGTATCTGACATTGTCGTTGGCGATATATGTCAGGTATGTGTTTCACATTGACTTAGAACAACACGTCCTGCGAGTACGTAAAATTACAACTATTGTTCTTAAATCGGGTAATACATGGTTTAGATAAAATACGGAGACTTGCTGCCAGCAGATGGTATCCTTATACAAAGCAACGATCTCAAGGTGGACGAATCCAGCTTAACCGGGGAATCGGACCATGTTAAAAAGGGAGAAGCGTTTGATCCTATGGTACTCTCAGGTAAAATTACTTTATAGGTCAGACATTGATAATATCTTTCTCGAAAGCACGATAATTGTTATGGTAATAATATTTTACAAAGGTACACACGTGATGGAGGGCTCAGGAAAGATGTTAGTTACCGCTGTAGGTGTTAACTCACAGGCTGGTATTATCTTCACTTTGTTGGGTGCTGCTGTTGATCAGCAAGAGCAAGAAATCAAGAAGATGAAGAAAGGTATGATGCAAAGTTGGTTTTTCTAAACGATTATGGATTTAAGTATCCTAATTGCCATTCCAAAGTTTTGAGGATGATCGAAGTAGTGTAGTCCTCGGTATATTTATCATTTTGAGAACAGACATTGATAAGAATTTGGCGGTAGTTTTATTAATTTTTTTTCTTTTCTTTTCTTTTTTTTTTTTTTTTTAGAAAGTCAGGTAGTCTAGTTTAACAACATTTATTTTGTAGGGATTTGTTTTCAGAATGATACAAGCTAGAATTTTATACGACTATAGTATTCCCTTTTTTTTTTGGAGCAATTCAAACTCGCTACTTCCTTGGAAAAAAAAAAAATATTACCAATACGCATTTCATACGAAATCGAATCGCTCTTTATTTCGAGAAAAATATTCTACGAAGTAGCGGGTTATACGTACATTCTGCATGGCATAAAATACATGAAAGAAACATAGAAACGATCAAGAGAGCAGCAGCATGGTGTTCATTTTGAATTGGTGTGAGAATACTTAATTGTGAATTTAGTCTTTAGTCATTTGTTACCCTTTTGTCTCCCTTGGCATGTGATTGCAATATTTTTGAAACCGTTTACTAATTATTACTGGAAACAAACATTTAGCTTACTTGATTACCGGTGAAATCGTTATTCAGGGTTACGCAAAGATAAAGAAGAAAGAGAACTAAAATAAATGAAGAAGCTTTCGAAAGTCGAATTTTGAGTAATTTCGCGTGAAAAAGATTCAAGCATTTAGTATTAAGGCACATTAAACACCATCGTTATTACTTAATCACATTTTATGCCTTTCTGAAACGTTTACATCAATTTGCATTTAGTTGTAATGTCTGTATCGACGTTTTGTATGTTTATACATAGAATATTTATATCGAATAATTTCAGAAATTTTTCCTTTTTTCTTTTAGCGCCACTGTTGCATTAAGATTGATTCTTGCTCTCAGACATCTCGTTCCCTTCTTAAAAGAAAGACGGTTAAAACGAAGGCAAACAATTTAGGCGTAAGTCTACTATACGGGAATTTAATAGCAAGAGTCAATCTTAATTTATCGAGAAACAAAATAAACATAAATCCAGTATGCTTTCTTGTGATATTTATGTTGTGTACGTCTTTCGTCGTTGTACAACCTGGAAGGCCCTTTAAATGTATTAAACCATTTGTTCTCGTTTATTCATTAAAGTATATTGTTTCGACGAAACGATTAATTAGTCATTGCAAATAGAGTGTCGCTTTGAAAAGGCCAGTGTTTTCGAAACCTTCTAGGCTGTCCACTTAGGATTAAGCAATTTACAACCTTAAGAGCAGATGTTAGAAATGAAAAATTTAGTAATTGCTAATGGAAAAGAGAATTGCGAGTATAACGTTAACTTTTACTACGACTGGCATATTACATTTTTAGATAGACTGCTAATCAATTTTGTTTTGCATGCGTTTTTTTTGTCTAGAGGCTAAGAAGCAGCGGAAGAAGAAGTCATTAACAGGTGAATAAAGTACTATCATAAATCATTACTGTTCATAATTTTCGGTGTTAAACGTGTATATCAAACGAGCACGCGCGCGTATTTAGTTTATTTTTATTCTTTCTTATCGTTCTATTGTCTCTTCTCTGATTATTTAAACATTCGGTATATGTATATCACACGCGAAAATTCGTTTAGCCATTCGCAAAAAAAAAAATTAGAAACACTTTTAAATTAAAATCTTTGCCTTACGATCACTCTGTCTGTTACGTTGCATATTCTGTGTAGCCTCTGTACATTGAAAGGTTTTCGTGTTTGTCAAATCGATCACTTTTTTTTTTCCTTTTTCTATTTGTTTTCGTTATTTCCCTTCTACTTGGTCCATTCGTTCGTTGCGCGAAGTAAATGGGAAGCGATTCGAGAGAGCGCGTATAGTAAAATTGTCTCATCCGTGCTTCTGTGTACTTTATATATACGATTATTTGAATGTTTCAACGGCAGTGGTTTATGCATTTGACAAGATACAAGATACTGTAATTCTGTATAGTTTGTTCTCTCTGCATTTCAGCAACGCTCTGTCACCCTCACCACCTTTTTACGCGTCTGTGTTTCTTAACTCGTAATCGTTGTGCCTTTCGATCGATTTTTAATTATTCTCTTTCTCGACGGCTTATTCTACTGTCTACATTTCTTCTTCCCTCTCTTCGGTAGATACCGATTACTAACATTAGTCATTTAGCCAGTATCATAGTAAGAAAGTATTTATGTAAACGATTTAGTCGGTAAGCGTTCCGAAGAAAAGCTCGATTCCTATGGTTCTCTTGCTCGTACGTAACTCGGGCAACAGGTTTTAACGGTAATAACGATGTTTTTAATTATGGAAACCGTTGTACGGGTTCGCGAAAAAATTGAGAGAAAGAAGACGAGAAGAAGAGCGAAATCAGAGAAAATAGGAATCGAGATTCGTACACGATATTCGTGGAAGAACTCAGACCCAGTTGTCGTGTGTTGTCAATAAAGGAGACGAAGCTGTAGAAATAACCGGAAACAGTCACGTGAGCGGAGGAGGCAAACACGAGGGTGGAGAGAACCATCACGCAGCGAGCCACGGAGGAGGCGGAGAAGGGAAGAAAGAGAAGAGTGTTCTTCAAGCCAAGCTAACTAAACTCGCCATACAAATCGGTTATGCCGGCTCGACCATAGCAGTGCTTACCGTTGTCATTCTAGTCATTCAGTTCTGCGTAAAGACGTTCGTGATAGACGAGAAACCTTGGAAAAATACGTACGCTGGTGATCTGGTGCGGCATTTGATCATCGGTGTAACGGTACTGGTAGTCGCCGTTCCCGAAGGTCTTCCTCTAGCTGTCACCTTGTCTCTCGCTTATTCCGTTAAGGTAACAATTATTTGGAGCGATATTATTCCGAGTTGGCGTAACGCGATCGAATAACTCTAATCGGCGTGTTCGCGCGATTCCAGAAAATGATGAAAGACAACAACTTGGTGCGCCATTTGGATGCCTGCGAAACGATGGGTAACGCAACAGCTATTTGTTCGGACAAGACTGGTACACTGACAACCAACCGGATGACCGTCGTTCAGTCGTACATATGCGAGAAGATGAGCAAAACGATTCCAAAGTTCTCGGATATCCCGAGCCACGTTGGAAACTTAATAGTGCAAGCTATCTCCATTAATTCGGCGTACACATCCAGAATAATGCCCTCGCAGGATCCTACAGAATTGCCGCTTCAAGTCGGCAATAAAACCGAATGTGCCTTACTTGGATTCGTAGTTGCCCTGGGCATGAACTATCAGACGATACGAGACGATCAACCTGAGGAAACGTTCACGCGGGTGTACACGTTCAATAGCGTTAGGAAGAGCATGTCTACCGTCATCCCGAGGAAAGGTGGCGGGTATAGGCTCTTCACCAAGGGCGCTTCCGAGATCATTATGAAGAAGTAGGATCGTCGAACAGACACGCGTTAGTTTAGACGATAGTCGGTAGAGTAGATCCTAATTAATCGTCTTTCTTCTCGGTTGCAGATGTGCCTTTATATATGGTCGCGAAGGTCATTTGGAGAAATTTACCAGAGAGATGCAGGAGCGTCTGGTAAAGAACGTAATCGAGCCAATGGCGTGCGACGGACTTCGTACCATCTCCGTCGCTTATCGCGACTTCGTTCCTGGCAAGGCAGAGATCAATCAGGTTCACATCGACAACGAGCCGAATTGGGACGACGAGGAGAACATAGTGAACAATCTGACGTGTCTGTGCATCGTCGGAATCGAAGATCCGGTTCGGCCGGAGGTGCCGGACGCGATCAGGAAGTGTCAAAAAGCGGGTATCACTGTGCGAATGGTGACGGGAGACAATATAAACACTGCACGTTCTATCGCTCTGAAATGTGGCATCTTGAAGCCGAACGAAGACTTCCTTATTCTCGAGGGCAAAGAATTCAACAGGAGGATCAGAGACAGCAACGGCGAAGTACAGCAGCATCTTTTGGACAAAGTGTGGCCGAAGCTGAGGGTGTTGGCCAGATCGTCGCCGACGGACAAGTACACGCTGGTGAAGGGTATAATCGACAGCAAAGCGTCCGTGAGTCGCGAGGTCGTTGCCGTGACCGGCGATGGAACGAACGACGGGCCGGCTTTGAAAAAGGCTGACGTCGGTTTCGCCATGGGTATCGCCGGTACCGACGTGGCCAAGGAAGCTTCCGATATTATTTTAACGGACGATAATTTCTCGTCGATCGTGAAAGCAGTTATGTGGGGTAGAAACGTCTACGATAGTATAGCAAAGTTCTTGCAGTTTCAGCTGACTGTCAATGTCGTCGCTGTTATAGTTGCTTTTATCGGGGCATGTGCCGTGCAAGATTCCCCCCTTAAAGCGGTGCAGATGTTGTGGGTGAATTTAATCATGGACACGTTAGCGTCTCTCGCATTGGCCACCGAATTGCCTACGCCCGATCTTCTTCTCCGTAGACCGTACGGTCGTACGAAACCGCTCATCTCCAGGACAATGATGAAGAATATTCTCGGTCAAGCTGTCTATCAGTTGTCCGTGATTTTTATGCTTCTTTTCGTTGGTAAATATCTTCCGGTATTGTAGACCGTCGTTCGGTCATCCCGAATCCAAAGATACATTCTTGCCGGTAGATAGATTATCGATTAATTCTTTCGTCGTCCGAGAGTTTTTGGATTTTGAGATGGCCGGAGGCACTCGAAGACGCTTCCGCATCCTTCTAACGATCAACCGTCTGATCGATAGGTGATAAGATGCTCGACATCGAAACGGGGCGAGGAGTAGCACAGGCTGGCGGCGGTCCAACGCAGCACTTCACCGTCATCTTCAACACGTTCGTCATGATGACTCTTTTCAATGAATTTAACGCCAGGAAAATCCATGGTCAGCGTAATGTCTTCCAAGGAATATTCACCAACCCCATATTTTACTCTATCTGGATCGGCACGTGTCTGTCGCAGGTAAGTTTTTTACCGATTCGTTTCTATGCTTTTTCATTATTCTTTCTCTCGTTCGAATCTTATATCGGGGAAAATACTCGTTTTTCGCGCGAAACCTACGATTCCGTCGAAACAACAGAGAGAATTCGAAAACGTTTGAGAATAGACACGGGCACTTTCACTCTTCTTTTTCGATCAGCCTCGATCCACCGAGATAGGTTCGACAAAAAGGAAGAGAAAGAAAAATGCTCCAGCCAAGCAGAAACGAAAGGAACCAAAGCGAGACACACGTCCGTTTACTTATGCGGGTGACATTAAAAAGTTACCGGTTGCTTTGTTTCCCTTTAATAAAATTATCTGTCTGTTTTCTAGGTAGTTATCATACAGTACGGTAAAATGGCGTTCAGCACGAAAGCTCTCACATTAGAACAATGGATGTGGTGCCTGTTCTTCGGAGTCGGTACTCTATTGTGGGGCCAAGTAATTACGACAATTCCTACGCGCAAGATTCCTAAAATTCTTTCGTAAGTTACACATTCACGTAAAAAAGAAAAGAAAAAACAATCATTTTATTGTTTAGATGATGAGAGATACTTCTGTTCGATATAGCGGGTGCAGCCTGCAACAATTTATAAAATGCTCTTTCGCCCGTCTTTTTTACTCGTTTAACGAATATTTCCGGGATATTAGATACACTCATCCTTACAAAGTACACAGGATGGTTCGGTAATTTTATCTAGCCGAAATACTTGCATTATTTTTCGAGACGCAAAAAATGTTCTCGGAACTCGTTTACGAAAGTTCCTCGTTCCGGAGAGAGACCGTTTCAAGAAAGCGCTTTCCATTCGTTTATCGAACGGACTCTGTCTGTCTTTGATAACCTTTTCGAATCCCTTCAATATCTAGTAACTTTCGTAAACGATGTTGTTTTGTATCTCGATAAAAAATGGAAATACTTTATTCGAACAAAGTTACTGTTCCACTCCACTGTACACGTATTGTATATATTCTTTCGGTTTCTCTTTATTTTTCGATATACTTTTCTCGGTTTTTTTTTTCTCTCTCTCTCCTGTTTTTCAGTTTCTATAATCTTTTTAGATTTCTGTTCGGTTATTTGAGTTTAAAATTTGAAAACGGGAATGCCGGAAGTCTACGTATAATCGCGAACATTTTTGAGCTGCAACGAAACGAACGACAAAATCCGTGAAGCCACATGCTGAAAGAACAAAGAATAGAGAAACAAACAGGGAACAATAACAGTGACAAAAGTATGTGGATTTCTTGCTTTCTTGCATCGTGCGACGCGACAGGAACGCGTTGTATCGAGTCCAAGGGATATTCGTAGAAAAAAGAAAAACCTCTTGAAGCTTCGAGAACGAACGAACGAACGCTATTTGCGTTCTTAACTTGTTTGAAAATGACAACCACCTAGTTAAACGTAAGATTTGCGCGATTATTATTTATACTTTGATGGGCTCTGAAACGGCGTGTTATGCCGTACACGTAGCTCCGATGAGTTTTTTATTCGAGATCCTCCCGTTACACGATAGTCGCCTTTGCATGAATCTGTTTGTTCTTAATTATAAACACCGATATCGAACGGAATCTGTTTAACATGTATCGATGTTTGGAACACAATTACGATCGAGTCTAAAAAGTCTATCGTCTAGAAAAGTATATTTATTAGTAAGTATTGCACGAACGTTGTTGCACGAAATTCTTAATATCGAAGAATTTCCGGAAGAAATTAATATTAAGAATTGTCGATACTCGTTCGAGTGTACCGTCCGTGCAATACCTTTCATGTATAACTATCAAATACGTGGTGTAGCGATCACGAAAAGAGCTGTTCCAAATCAGAGAGAAAATCGTGTAAAAGGTGTTGATAGAGAAGGGAGGCATGCATCGTGGAAAACTCATTATTATTATTATTATTATTATTATTATTATTGTTACTATTATTATTATTATTATTATTACCGTTGTTATTATTATGATTATTATTATTATCGTTATTAATATTATTATTATAGTCGTTAATCGTAGAGCTTCGATTGGTTTATATTTTTTCGCTTACTTTCGAGTCCTTTACTATTTGCTTTTGCCCGTGAATATGTTTCTCTTCCTTCACCGAATTAGCGTGTCGCTTTACGTAGCATGCTCCCTAGACGCCCAATTAAAACAGTTTCAAAACACCAATGAATTGGACACGTAGACAGAGAATGATCACGCGTACTCAGCTATTCCCTCGCTCCCATCTTTGTAGTTGTAAGTTAGTGCTGGCCAAATAATCCCCCGTCGTTTCTGAAACGTCGTACAAACGTCATGAATGGGTACATGGATGTTTGGGTACGAACAGTTCGGTGCATCGGTATCCGAATAGTCGATCAGAGATCGAAATCGTTCGCGACACTTTTCGATCGAAATGGATATTTATCGGAGAAATTAGCTTATACATATATGCTGGCATTAGTTTGCCGAAGAAATTTACGATCTTGGCGAATCGTGTATTCGGATATCGACGTATACGTATCTAGTATCTTCATACTAGAGAAATGTTGAAGCTCTGTCGTAGGCTTAGCCATTGCATGACTGAAAACCCTTCTCCAAGGTCTACGTACTTGTTTGTGTAAGAAGTAACTAACAAAATGGCGTCCCGACGATATCACTACACATTTTTTTAATACGTATACATTACATATTTTGGTGCAAGGGATCTCAGTGGCGCGCTTAAACCGAGTTCAGCGGTTCTCGAGATGAAAACCCGAGACCTTAGTTAACGAAACACCATAAGTGGTACTCTGTTGCGCTTAGCATTTATATCCGTAAATCACTTTGCTCTCTCGCTGGAGCTATTAACCGAGTCTGTTTTTTTTTTTCTTCAGCGACTTTTTAACTGTCTGTCTGTCTATCTATCTATCTGTCTGTCTGTCTGTCTTTCTTTCTTTCTTTCGTTCTTTCTTTCTGTCTGTCTGCCTGTATTTCTATTCACCTTTGTTTTTTTCTTATTGTCTGTATCTGTTCACCTTCGTTGTGTACGATCCGTCTTTACCTAAATTTCGCTCTTACTTTCGTCTTTTTCTCCTTCTATATTATCTCCGTCGAATGTACGAAATCAATTTTCTTTCCTTCTCGCTCGGTTTTCTATCTTTGCATCCGTTTCTCTGTCCGCTTAGATCGCCTCCTAATTCGCAAGCAAGATCCACACACGGACGAAACACGCGCATAACCGAGCCACTTGCGAATTGGGAGAACTCTTGCCGCATCGAGCAAGCGCTAACAACACGAATACTAACGATTAAAATGAATGAGGGACATACGATGATCGATGCAGGGTACAACATGTACATGTTGGGGTGCTTCTGTATGGTCCTGGTCCGCTAAACAACGAACGCGTGCACACTAACCATCGTTTACGGCAGCGACGAGAAACAGGAAACGCGTGGTTTCTCGCTTCGTTTAATCTCTTCTCTGCATATAATTCGCTTGTTAAAGCTTTTACGAGCCACTTGTCGTAGGACACATAGAGAAATAGTTGTGGTTTTCTCGAGCCTCGATCGAACCGTCCCTCCCGAAACAGGTAAGGGAGAGATCGCATCGTTGGACGAATAACGACCGTACACCTATACATGCATACATACATACATCCATGCACGCAAACGCACATAAACACACATACACTCAGAGGGAAATAAGGAAAGACCTCGCGTAAAGATTGTCTGATCTTTTCACGAGTCGCGTGCGTGAAAAAGGAAAAAGAACCTGTCCAGAGGAGAAGGTAAAAAATACGTTTCGGATGATCGCACCCGGTCCTGTCTAAATACGTCCGTGTCGCGGACGCATCGTTCCCTCCGCCGATCCTACGCCTTCTCTTTCTCCTGCTCATCGTCATCTTCGACTCCTTTTATTACTTATTTCTTTTCCGTTCATCGCTGCCGTTCTTTTCCTGACAAGTACAAAAGTATCTCTTTCGTCATCACATACACACACACACACACACATACACGATACGTGCTCGTTACACGGAGCGTCATTCGTTTCAATCCCATCAGCAGATATCGCATATATCGCTCACTTTGTCCGCATTGCACCTCACATCGCATCCCCTCGTTCGTTGGCTCATTCTTGTTTACACGTCGCAACATTTCTCTTGTATGTATGTATTATCTTACCGGTTGCTTTACGGTCGCAGAAGCCGAAACTGTTCGGACACGGATCATACGCGTTTACCGGAAGCGATATTCGTTCGAGCACGGTGCTCGAGAAAGAACATTGTCCATTGAAAGAAAGAACCTTTAGGATTATATGGAGTTCGAAACAATTGCTTCCGGTAAATTCGGCATGGTCCGGCGAAACTTTGAAAAATTCTAGCTCTCTGCGATTCGAAAGTAACCCGTTCGTCTTTTTTTTTGTCCGTCTGCTTTCCTATCTCGGCCATTTCCAAATCATCGTTGCGTCGCCACCGATCCATTCTCGCCATTTGAAACGAAACAGACAGAGAATACGATTAGCCAGCATCGTCGACACCCGTTCGAGAGAACGCGATTAGGTGTCCAAGCTAAGGAGCGAGGGGAAAACCGTAAAAAAGAAAAGAAAGCGAATAAAAAAATTTGTCGGTGCAGTGCGTCGAGGAGCCGGCTCTGCGCGTGTCATCGGTCAACTAAAACAGAAAAAAAGTCCCTTAAAAAAGAAAACTACCTACTTTGATTATAGCCAATGTGTAACAGGGATCGAGTGATGAAGAATTGGTTTCATGTTTTTTAAAAACAGATGGGGCCGCGGCCAGCCGGATGATATCGGTGCGATCAATCTCGGAGATGAGAAATTCGACCCTGACTCGGATAAAAAGCCGCGCACAGGACAAATTCTATGGATCCGTGGTCTAACACGACTACAGACACAGGTAACTATCCCTATCTCTCACTCTCATGCCATCACTCGAAGTCAGCGTTCTCTCGTCCCCCCTTCCCCCGTACCGCCGGGATAAACTTAGAGAATCCGAAAATAGAGAAATAACGAAACGCCAAAGAAAGGGGAGAACAAAAAGAATAATCGAAACAGGACCACAAGAGAACAACCCAACCAAGCGGACGTTTTCGATTTTTCTCCGGCCCTCGGGTCGACGAGGATCCACCGCACACCCACGGCGAACCTCGTTTTTAGAACTTCCCGAAAGTCCACCGTCCATCTATACGCGGCCGATGCCGCGTTCAACGGTTTTCGAGCCACGGCCAGTGTTTTACCGTCATCGACTGTATTATCATCAGCCCGATATACCATCTCGTCATCGCAAATACGAGTTGTTCTCTATTCGATCATGATCCCTGTACACAGGCTGTCCACTTGGCATGGACGTTTCTTTTTCGAGTTTACGCGCTACAGGAACGAAACACGGTTTGCATTTTTTATTCTCGAACGATCGAACGCCCCGTTATTTCTATCGATCGAGAAGCTTCGCCGCGAATGTTCTATCTTTAAATTCCTTTCCGTGTTCTGGACCTGTGCATCGAACGAGTATCGTCCATGCGCCGTCGCTGCGTTACAGCCTGTGTACGCGCACGATACAAAAAGTATATATACGTGCGTTTATATACTTTGTTTCATACATGTGTTTCTTTTTTCAGTTAATATCGTTTTTCGTTTTACTCGTTTACATTCAGAACGTTCTTTACCTTGGTTTGCATTTTCATTTGAGTTCTTTGCCGTGTTACCTCGACGATGCGTACCTCGCGTTTTTACCCTTTTCGCCGATCTTGCGATACGTACATTCCGCGTTAGCCCACAGAAAGAAAGAAAGCTCGACGATTAAGCGAACTCTGACTCTCTCGACGTCTAAAAGAGCTCGGCAGCCATTTCTTTTCGATCCGCTCGATCTTCTTCGGGTTTCTGCACATGTTCCTGTTTCTCGATTAACGGTTTCTCGGGAACGCTGTTACCCGCGATAACTTCGAACACGATTCTAAAAAATTCTACGGAGAATACTCTATACCAGGCACGTTATTTAGGCCGACTGGAAGAAACGATCGCGTTTTCGACGCTATAATACTAGCGGAGTATTTCATTTTTTCTTTTTCTTTTTTTTCTTCCCCCGCGAAAGATCGGATTTCTTGTCAGGATTACACTCGTACAGACTCAACACGCTCACTGCCACATTGTAGCAATTAGTGAATTTCGTTGGAAGCTTTACTTTGTCTCGAGAAGAACTCTCTCCACGAAGCACCTCTGACCCTTCATCGGAACCTCGATACGAAATTCAGGGTATAGACCTCTTTCCAGCTTGCGTCACCTTCTCGACGATCGTTGCCTGATTATTCGAAACCACTAGAAGCACGTAGATGTTCTAGACTAGGCTAGAGTCATCGGTTTGCTCGACGTAGAGGCACGAATCCGACCATATATAGTCCTCGTTCCGTCCCAAAGCTTGCGTCGAGTTACACGTCTATTATTCCTCTATGTATGATTTTCGTCGAAACGCGCGACTCCCAACGAAAACACGTTCGCAGTTTTTAGTCGGATCGTAAGGTATAAAAGAACGTTGTCGAAAGTACATAGATTCGAAATGCGCGGGACGATCCTTTTTTGGACAGGACAGTGTACCGACATTCGAAGATTATATTCTTCGATTCTCGACTACTAAGACAATCGCAGCGGACTGTACAACGCTTCTATTAATCGATGCTCGAGCGAGAGTCGGAAAGGACAAACAAGCTGCCCTTTCTCGTCGACGATGCCTCTGTGCCTCGTACGCGTCTTTTCGATTCCGTTACTTTTCCTCGTTCTTTCGTTCTTTCGTTCTTTCGTTTTTCCGTAAACGAACGGATTAAACCTGATGAAGCTAGCGCCATACGTAACGTGATCGTGATCGCGTAAACCGTTTACGTTACGCCATCGCGACCTCATCGATTTATAGGCCACACCTTTTGGACGCGCGACGAACTCCGTTTCAAATAACACGAAAAAAATGACTGAAACACCTCGTTAAGCGTGTTCGCGACTCGATGGAACGATTGCATGGTCCAAAGGAAACGAAAATCGGTCAAGAAATTCACCGAAATCATGATCTCTACTTTCTTTATTCTGTTCACTTACTTCGCTTTCTCTCTTATTTCCTTTCTTCTTATCCTCGTAACACTACTCTTCGCTATAGCTAAGTGAAGCAAAGAAAAAAGAAAATACCGAAACGACGATGAACGAACATACATACGTGTAAGGTTAATTCGTTGAATCGATGTGTCCCTTCACGAATTACATTGTAAGCTATATAAAAACAAACAAACAAAACAAGTATTATTGATACCACGATCCAGTTAAGCTAATTATATAAATTGAATATGTATAACCTACTTTCAGACGAGCAATAGAACTCTGGTGCAGAATGTATCTGTGACAGGCAGATCCCCCTCTCAGGATTACTATATGGTTAGTCCGCAAGTCCAATCTCCGCACTGTTTGACCGTTCTTTCAATATTAATTCTTTATTATTATTATTATTATTATTATTATTATTATTATTATTATTGTTATTATCGGTTTGTTTTTCTTCTTTTTTCACAGTTTTGTTTTACATTAACCAGTTTGGCTCTTTTGAGTTTCCCTTCTCACTGGTGCCTTTCCGTTTAACGTACTTGATTTTCTTTCTCTTATTCCTGTCTCTTCTCTTCTTAACATCGCTATTTTAATGTACCTTGATTCGTGCTCACCTTCATTTCTCTGATTGGACAACTTCTGTCTCTCTCTATAATATATATATATACATATACTTTATTTATTTATTTATTTTATTTCCATTGAGTTTGACTTATGATTGTCTGATGGCCTGTCCTTTTCTTTTATTCTATCAATTTTGCTTGCAAGTTGCGAGCTTCTACTCGCTTCTTTCTCGTAATACATGCTGTTTCTTTTTTTATTTTTTAACTGTTCCGCGTTTCGAGAAATGATTTGCAAAAAATCATAAGCAGTCCTGTTTTACTTTCACTTCACTTCGTTAACCAATTTGTTTCAGACAGAGTTGTGTCGATACCCTCCTGCTTGAAGAGAAGAGAACTCCTTTCCTTCGATTCCATATTTCCTGTCTCAGCGATTTTTATTTGAAAGATAGCAAGATCGCTTCGAAACCGTCATCGTGTTTCATAAATGTTCGTGGAATTCAACTTCTCGTTAATTTTGACTTTTTCTTTATATTTCGATATTTGGTTAAATGTCTTTACTTACTATACTGTCTTTACATTGAACTTTGCTGGCTCATAGAACTTGGTGTACACCTACGAACTTTGAAAGTTTCTTACTTGTTGTTTCGCGTCGAAAGAGTTATTTTTAAAGATAATCGGTGGTAATTGCGAATTCGCTTATAGAATTTTAACCTTCGAATACGACGCGTTTAACGAAAGCCTAGTTACTCGCTTGAACGTCATTGTCTTTAACTCGTTCCGAGAAAAAAAAGGCCAGTTATAGCCAGCAAAGCGTCAACGATCGCTTCGAATAATCAACGGATTCTACAAATTGGCCAAGTAGAATTAAGCTTATTATTATATGTCACGTTTCGCTCTTCTCTTCAAGCGTAAAGCACAAAATGTCCGTATTTGATTCACCCAGATTCACCCATTTATTACTTACGCAAAGAGAATATCAAGCTCGAACAAAATTTTCCAACTTGTTCATTTCCATCCAAATCCCTGTTTTGGTTTTCTCTTCTTTCCATTAATTCTAAAGTGTTGCATGCACGTCTGTGCGTATGTATGTACGTATATAAGTTGCCCGTATATACGTGTATATACGTAGATATATGTATATATACACACATGTATGTGAAATGCATGCGCGTATGTGTACGCGTATATATATGTGTGTATGCGTATATATGTGTGCGAGACACACATACACGCGCGGCAAGGTACGCTTATGTATACTTTTTCTCATTTTATTTACTTATTCTTTTCGATTAATTCTTATTAAGACACTGTCGTCATTCTTTCTTCTTTCCACGTTTACGTTTGTCGACAGAATCATCGAGACGATTTTTAGTTTGAAAAAACTTTGCACAGTACAGTACATAACCATTTACTAATTTGTCATACAGAGATTTCTATGAACTTCGTTGTTTTTTTTTTTCTTTTTTTTTTTTCATCGACACGTTCAGTTACAGGGACTATTCAGTTTTACGATGCGTTATTAAGCGATTTACCGATAACATACGATACAGGAATTTGCCGAGCATTGAGAATGAATTTGTACGTGTTTTCGATGTCTGCTTATAAAGTTTTTTTTTTTTCGTTTTTATTGGATAAAGGTATTGCTGAAACTTCTCTACATTACACAAGTATACTTTTCAATGTGAGAACTCTATATCGTGAAGGTAAACGTGTTTTTTTTTTTTTTTTTATTTAAAAGATCGCTGCTATGGCGGTACACGTTGTATACATATACACAGACACACACACACACACACACACATATATATATATGCTTCAAGCAAAATATATTACCGACCAAAGATCTATGATCGATATGTCGAAAACGTTCTTACGTACCTCGTTTAACTTGCTCGCTTTCGGAACGTTGTATAGCTTGTTGAAAACGATCTTATCTATGAATGGTAAGGGTATAAGGGACACGAGGAACTTGTCGAACGTAACGAAGCGCAATACTATTTACACGAACGTATTAGCTCTCTGTCATTCAATTGCTACGCTTACTTATTAGAGAAAAAGAAGAGTACCTTTAAAAATACAAACTGTCTCAGGCTCCATCGTCATTTCCATCGACAATTAGACATGCGCGTATTCGCGCGTAAATTCGCGTCTGATACGTAGAGAAAAAAAAGCAGCCACGATGATTCTGAAGTCACAGGCACAGGCAACTTTTGCCACGCAGAAGCTTTGCTAAAGCTCGGAACTCGATTCGCAAGAGCTGCACTTACGAAAAAGCAGCCTCAGAGTACCTTGTACGTGTGCTATGCGTGTGAACTGCATGCAGAATTTGCGGCAGGAACCTCCTAAGAAAAGATACATATGCCGGTAAACAGTTTCGACGTATTAACAATGTTACGAACAACAACAACCATAATACTCTGTTGCATCCTACTGTACGTTTCTCTCGTTCACGGAGAAACGAGCATATAACCACGTGTCCAGCAGAACATCTGTGACATCCATTTGGCTGATTTGCTCCTTTTGTGTCTTATTTCTGTTCTTTACTTGTTGCAGTGTGTGTGCCGTTTTGCTGTGATGTATATATATATACATATTTATATATACTATTAACGTACAAACTGTGGATATATGACAAATGCATTGTGTGTGTCTCTCGATGTGCGTGCGTGTGCTGTTACGAATATATGATGTACGTGCACAATCTGTTTATTTCCGTCTGCCGTGTACACGACAGCGAAAACTAATATCTGCAAGCTACTGACAGTCGGTTAACACGTACACAAACGCCACGTAATAACTGACAGCAGACACGAGCGATATATTCTATCTTGCACGATCGGCCAAGCTCTTCGGGCAGATGCGTAGACATTTTACGCAGTTTATTTGGCCGAAGAACCGGAAAGAAATATCAGGAAAAACGTCTGCACCGATACCTTCGAATCGAAGGAGGACAATGAATGGTTTCGAAAAGGATGGTATGAAAGTTTCGCGTATAATAGGATTCGCGGGGAAGAATCCCAAGTTTCGAGAAAAGCGTTCGAGCAAAGTCGAGAAATTTTCGTTTCGAAAATTTACTTTCGTACCAAGTTCTAAGCCATTCGTGCAGCCGTTTCGGGTTTGTAGAATTTACTGGATTCGATATTACATATTTTATCCAAGATATTTTACGGTTTCGCTTCTCGATATCGCGCCATTCTTTCCACGAGATCGAAATTTTTGTCGAGGCATCGACCGTCTTCGGATACGTTTCTCGGTCTGTCGACGAAATCGAGGAGCTATCGAGAAACGAACTCGTCAGATCCTGAAATGCTTGCATGTAGCGACTGCCAGTTCGATTCTATTCTTCGCAAGCTTTCAAGCTTCGCTTCTCGATCACGCGTAAGCTCGAGTCACTCGGTCTATTGTTCGTAATATTGGTCGTAATATTGATCTGTTTGGAATTTCGTCGAATCACTTGATTATGAGCAGTACGACAAAGTGACCGAGCTTACCAAACCGTACACCTCTCGGTACAGCTACGGTCTCTCAGGACCGGTCTAATACTCGAACACACACGCCTACATAAAACTTGTCGAAGAAGTTTTCAAATAACGTTTGGAAGTTTGGCCGACGAGAAACAGGAGGCTAACGTTAACAACGACAACAGATACAATCTTACCAAAGAAACAGAACCAAATTAAAAAAAAAAAAAAAAGACACACAGAACGAGACACGCACGCCAGTGTACATAGGAATGAGATACTGACGCAAACGCAAAAAACACGCCTAAAAAAAAGTAACGATATTAAGAAGAGGATAGAAATTAAGACTGATGGTATGATTTGTGGTTTGTTAGCCAGCGGAACCCATTCGGGAGACTGAGGTATAACGGGGCGGCAGTCTTGCCCGCCGCCACACTTATCCTGTCGGAGTACAAACAAGTACGTAGCTCATGTAGATCGCCTGCCGTTAATAATTCGTTGTATCGTCAATTTTGCCATACGTACGCATACACGGGACGGATCGTCGACGTACGTACGATGTGCCGATCGAAACGTCGCTGTCGGACTTGTTCTCTCGATTCGACGAATCGTAACGTTTCCGTTCGCTCTTTCGCCGAGTCGATGCCGATACGACCGAACGAAAGATCGCGCGAACCAGCTACGCAACACGTAGGACGAAGAGAACGCTCCACGGGAGGATCGATCGACGAGGAAGAGAGGGAACGAGAAACTGGGAACAGGAACGACGGTGACGATTCCGTAGCACGGATACAGTGAACGATGTTTCGTTATACCACTGTGTTTTTGTGTAGCGGGTGTGGACTGGCCGGTGTAGTCGATGGAAGCGCTGCTAAGACCATCGGCCGCCTGCCTGCTCTCCTTTTTTCAGTAGTCTATAGCTGTCTGATATGATTGTGTGCTGCGTGTACTTCCCCATTGTATGTTCGTTAGATGAAACGCAAGCATCTTTTTACCGTGGCGGCCATGTGGTTCGTACGTGTGTTTAACCAGCAAATCAACGCGAATCCTATCGACGTCGAGAAACTGTCCCGAAAAGGATGTGTTCGGCTTCGAGTTTCGGCCGGTCAACCTCCTTCCACCAGCCCTCTCTGCTGCTTGTTTCTGTTTGCGTTTATCCTGTCCTTGCATATCGCGTTTCTCCCGACCACGGGTGTTCCGTATAGCCGTGAAAAGTCTTCTTTGGAACACGATTCGCGAGCTGACGCGCGACGTAATCGCTTTGCCTTTCTCTTTTGCAGATCGTCGCTCGGAAGAAGTTTCACGGTGTGTCAGAAATTCCTCGTCTCTTCCTCACGGTCCTGTCTCTCGAAAACATTTTTTTCCCGATTTTCGAACGGGCGCGTCTCGAGAAACCCCGTCCGTAACTCCTTCGCGCGTCCCACGCTTGTCGAGTCGCGTTCGAGTTCGTTCGGTCGCGGGTAGAGCGTTGCCGCTTTCTCTGTTCCGTTCGAGTAAACCGTTACACGCTTCATCGACGTTTTCCGCGTTCGATCGCTGACGAGAATCTAAATTCACGGTCACGAAGCTTTCTTCTTCTCCGACAGAAAGTTCCGCGACCGCGTTTTTACCTTTTTCTCCCGCTCGCGAAACGCTGGAAGAACTTCTCTCGACGCGGTCAAGAAAGCGCAACCGTCTCCCCGATACCGTAACGTGTATCGAAACTTCGACATGTACCGTCCACGTTTCATCCGTTCGGTGTGCGAGTGTGCACGATTGCTCGCGTTGTGCATTGTCTTTGCGTGCGCGCGTGTGTGTTTTGTTCGTTTGATATTTAACACGGCATTGCGCGCGAGTGGCATAGAAAGGTTGACTTTGTTGCAGTGGTTCGCGAAATCCTCCCATGGATCTCGTTAAACGAAAGCTTCTATAGTAGCTTTGCGTACGATTACCACCCATGTTGTAACAGCTAATTGCCGGCATGTTAAATCGGCTCTTTCGCGATAGCCGCGTCGTCTCGATCACGGAATTGCTTCCGAGCGAAACGAGCGGCACTAGACCTCTGTGGGGACCAATCTTCCACGGATATAAAGATAAACATCGTACGATGTGCTCTCTTAACAGAGTTGGTAATTTCGTTAAAGAATCACGAGCATTCGCGTAACTAGGGTTACACCGAATATCTCGACTACCTCGTCCTAGGAACTTCCAACTGTTCAAAGTCTAGTTTACGCTAGCTATCTAGTAATGCCAAGAGACCTAGACAAAATCCCTAGTTACGCCAATAATTGCTGGTATAGGGCCGATCAAAGTATTAACTTGCAGCTAATCAGCCCTTAAATTAGAAAATATATTCGGCACGAAAACCATACTTATTTGCAAGGTCCTGGGACCGAAGGATTAGAAATTTCAGTTTCGTTCGAGAATATAATATTAGTCGCTCGAATTACGAAACATGGTTTTACGTAGCATAAATACGAAATGAAAATGTTTGCAACAGTATAATCACCGACGATTCATACGAAATCACTGTTCATTCGTAACTCTCTTTTTTTCTCTCTGTCTCTCTTTCTTTCTCTTTACAATGTATACACGGTATTTTTCACACACTGTCTATCTTATTTTTCTGCTTCCATTTCATTCTCTCTCTCTCTTTCTCTTTCTCTTTACAAATTGTCACATTTGTTATCTATTCTTGTGCGACCGTCGACAGGTTGCGGTTCGAGCGTGTGCTTCATCAAAGACAGATCCCGTATTCTTTGGCTTTCTATTCGGGACTGTCACGGACCATTCGTAATCGACTACCGACAGAAGTACCCTATTAACGTTCGTCGTTCTCGTAGAAGGAATTTCTGAGGTACCCTTGCGAGATGCGGTCATAAAACCGATAACTCCCGTCAGATTATATTCGAGCGTGTTAATTTTTTTTTTTTTTTTTTTCGAGGAACCTTCAAATTCGAAGGTGAATTATCCTTTTTCTTGCTTTTTCTGATCAGTCGTTTCTTTTCGCGAGCGACTCGATCGGTTCGGAAGCAAGAAGCGAGGACGATTCCGTTTGCAGAGAGTTCGAGGATGTTCGGTGTCGACAAATGTCTCGGTACTTCGGTAGGTGTTCGAGTAGCCGAAATAGCGATTCGAGGAATGGAGGAAAGTGTCGTCTTACGGTAGAATGGTTATCGTGGTGGTAGGTAGTTTTACCCTGTCCTCGCAAACTGCTCTGCGGCTTTTCGACCGGCCGCGTAGGTAGGTACGCACAGTAAACGGTAGACGCGTGCATGCGCACGCTAGGCAGTAGAGCCTATAGCGCAGTTATTAATAAGCCTGAACTCGGGTGAAATGCAACCAAGTCCACGACGAAGAGAATAACCCGACGGTGTGCACGTCGAACACACGATACACTCCGTTCGTATCCGCGGGAACGGAACACTCACGTACACGTCCGCATACCCGTGTTCGAACAGCTCCGCAAGAACCGGAACGCTCGTTCTGTGCTCCTCTTCCGTCGAAAGTACGGAGAGGAACAAGAAACACGGAAAAAAAACACGCACTCGGAACAGACGAAACCGAGAACAACTGCACCACCGATAGAGAAATTCTATAAGTATATGTAGTAGTACGTATACTTATATACGTTAGGAGACACACACAAGATAAATACGAGTATGGCGTGCTTGTGTGTCGCTGGCTTGCCTCCTCGCTTCCTGATAGAACATCCTGTTCCCTGTTTTTGCAGCTTCGAGTAATCAGAGCGTTCAAGTCGACTCTGGAAGATTTGGAGGAGCGACGCTCTGTCCATAGTTTACACAGCTTACACAGTATGCGCAGCTCACGCAGCCACACCGGGCCCCGACCACTCTCTGACTTCACATACATTGACGAAGACCCGACAAACACCGCGCTGAACGCTGGCAAGTTGCCTAACAAGAGCGCGGATCAGAGTCTGCCGGTGGATCATTCAGCAGCCAGGATGCAGTCGGTGAACAACTTGTCGTCGCCGCTGTTGCTCAGCGTCGCTGGACCAGGCAACGCGTACAACCATCATAATACCATTAACACCACCAATGACAATAGATCCTCGTCCAATAGCGCCCTACACCAGGCCCTCAGCCCCAACCATACGCAGATGCAGAGTACCAACAGCAACAACAAAGACAGCAACACAGGAAACTCCCTGCTTCTCAGCTCCAATAATCTGGCTCTCCCGGAATTGACGAAGCTCGTGCATGAGACCAGCATTTAAAGGCAGCTTTGCGTGTCGCCACTCTACACCTCCTACCTTTCTGCCCTCTCTTCTCACCTTTCACTTTCTCCCTTTTCTATCTCTCTCTCTCTCTCTCTCTCTCTCTCTCTCTATCTATCTATCTCTCTCTCCCCTCCCCCGCTCTTTGTTATTTCTCTTGTTTTCTCCGTAGATCATCTGTCCGTCACTGTCTCTTGCTTCTCGTTTTTCAGCAAAATCGGGGTTTTGTCTCTTTTAGTCGCGACTTTCGATAGTCGTTCAATGATACTCAGTTAACTCGGCGTCGCAGATTTTATTTTTTTTACTTCTTCTACTTTAAGGCGATCGATCGTACGTTCGAATTCGCGATGCTTCGCGACGAAAAATTGCCTGCCTTTTTTTATCTTACTAGACTATCGACATTCTCTGTCCACGTTGGACGCTGTACAGTGTTATCTGTCTGTTTGTTGTACTCTGAAAGTCCTGCAGGACGTTTTTAGCTAGCCTTTCAAAGGTGTTACCTTGCATTTTAACGAACTGCCCACCAAAGAAGAACCGTCTATTTTCCGATACAGCGTCGAGTTAAACAACTTTCCTCTTCGATTTTACTCTACGATTATATCGCGTTTTAAGATGGATCTTCTCGCCTGTAACGAATATCGGCTGTAAACGATCGAATGCTTTTATTCGAAGAACCGTTAGGTTTGTCCACGCGTTGGTACTCCGTACTTCGAGGAGAAGCTTTCTTTCGCTCAACTATATACGGCGAAGTCGCCTTAATCGAGCGTATAAAATCCCGTAAAAGAAACGAACGTTGTGATCTTTCTCGGTTCGTACAATCGCTTTCTTTCTTCCCTGCGATTTCACCCTTCTAGATCCATCTGCCCTTCGCGATTAAGACGAATTCGCTGTATAACGTTGGTCACAAGGTTTAACTTTCGTCGTTCTTTTACCATCGATTCGTCCTCTTTTGCTTTTGGGAGAAAGAGAGAAAGAGAGAGAGAGAGAGAGAAAGAGAGGGAGAGAGAGAGAGAGAGCTAGCTACAAGTACTTAAAGCTCGTTCATAGCCTAACGTCCGTTTTACGCGATTTTCTACCCGTAGCAGGACCTAGTATGCTAGCTTCGATATACTAGATTGCTCGTTCAGTTTCCCTCTTATTCCCTGTCAGGAGACAGAGTACAGTAAATTTTAATCGTTAGCGCGACGCGAAAAGCCAGGTATATTCGTTGCACTGATTTATGGTAATAAGGGAAAAGCTTGAAGATTTCACCGACTACTTGACGGTATAAACAATTTATGTCGTATTCGCTCTGCTATGTTGCATGCATACGTAACGTATAACGGGACACGACGTAGTCTATTAGATTAGCTTTATCCTTGTTACGATTAATCAGGGCCTTCGTTCTTTGATCGTTCGATTCTTCTGTTCACCTCCCTGCATTTATATCCCATCATGCTCTTTCCGAGATCATTAACAATCTTTCGATCGAAACGTTTTAATTTAAACGCGCTAAAGTGAAAACCTGATATCGAACCATTGAAACATTAGTTAGGCTGACTGCCTATTGTTGTTCGCACGTTGATTCGGCTTAAGTACTTGCTTGCTTGACTAATTGTCTTCTCGCATATCGTACGTTCACCATTTTACATAACCCGTTGCGCTTGCTTATTCACCGTGAGTTCGAATCCAAACTTGTATATCGACCGTTAATGAAATCGCTAAAATAATTTCGAAACGTGTCAGGTGTTTTATTTTTAGATGCCGTTCCAGCGCCTCTTGTTCCGTCGGCGAATGTACTTATCTCGCATTTCTTCTTTCGAAGTTTGTACCTTTGATCAGAGATTTTCATTCGTCGTCGATAACAGGCTTTTATAGCCGACAAAAACGTAACCTCACGACCCGATTAATTTCGTTGATCACGGTCCTCCTTTAGGAATCGATAACGGAGCATCGTAAATTAGCGTGACTTAATTCGTCTTGTTTGTAATCATCGTTGCTCACTCGTTTAATACGTAACGTCTACTTGGGAGTATTTTTATACAGGGTGTTTGTAAAGTCTTCATTTGCTTCGGTCGTTTGTTAAGATTCGTGTGCGTGCTTAATCGTAAAAATGCCTTTTTATGCGTGTGTCTAATTTTGATCGTAAATCTTGTTCAAGATTCAAGATATTATCGCTGTATCTGGTTGTTCGATAAGTTCGGCACAATCGACCAACATCGGTACTGTTCGAAACGGTTTGAGGATCAGACGTCGAGATACCAATGTATATTTAATTTATAAAACATTTTAGTATATCGAACACGTTGTCGCGTAACGAAACGATCTCGAAGAATGATCCTCAAATCATTTTCACCAATGTATAATATAAAAATGTGCAGTCGAAAGCTACGATGTAAACATACGTATATCAAAATGAATGATTTTAATAATGTTAAACGTGTTAAATTTAATTTGAAACTATCAAATATATTCGTCATATTTTTTATTCTTTTCAAACACGACAGACCAAGTTGATCGCGACTGCGTACGAACACCCTGTACCGTTTTCGAATCTTTCATTCGTTATCGCCCCTTAAGATCGCTAAAAAGTCGAAAGAAACGCGTGCCACGTAAAATATTGGAAACAAGGATATACGTATAGAAGTTGAATGAAAAGATCGACTCGCGGACTTTGTACTCTGTGCCTGTAGGATCATGGGAAGCGTTATTCTTTCGTTTTCTTGCTAGAAAAAGGAGCCTCGCGAGAAAGAAATAGGAGAAGAACGAAAATGACAAAAGGCCGTACTTAATTACGAGATCGGATCTCGTGTAGCTATCCTCGTCTCCCTTCCAGTTTCTGCTCGTTCGTCGAAGATTCGTCGCTTTTTATAATGAATTTTAAATTACGAATTAGAGTTAATTTCTTTCTGTTCACCGAAATTGGATAGCGAACGAGGAACACAACAGCAGTTGTATCTTATTTGTTAGCGACGATACGAAATCCGAATAGCAGCGAGAAGTCAGTTTCGTGTCGCCTACTTAATCGATATTGCACACCGAGTGTGCGTTCCACTCTGGCTTCCCTCGATCGAAAGGTTGTATAAAAGAAGTATCCTCGTACTACTCGTCCTCGATCTTTCCATAATCGCTCGCTCGAAAACTTATCTTAGGTTTTACGAGTTTTCTTCCGTTGTATCGCTGCTCGATCGAGGGAAATCACGTGTACGAAGGTGAGAATTTTAAACCGATGTCAGATCCACTGCCAGGATTGCGCGCGAGAGGGTGAACACCGCTAAATGGCTATTGCTATTTCCTCGGAATCATGATAATTTATTAAAAGTTAGTTCTTCTCTGCTGGTTGCGATAGTTCGTCAAACTATACTCGATCGTAGGAAGACGGCTTTCTGGCGGTTAGGAATCTTCCTCGAGTCTAGTTGCGAGTAACGATGGAATAGCACCGGATGATTTTCTAAATTGTTCGTTGCCCCGCTTACAACTGGATTGCTGGTCTTTTCTGAAATTGATAGAATAGCGAGTGTAGAACGTTATCGTAGAAATTTTCTCATCCGGAATGCTAGAACGAATATTTAAGAAAGGAATGTTTTAGAACCCGATTATACGTATACTTTAACTTTGTCGCTATAGATAAATCAGTCTGTCTCTGGTCCATTAAATATGTATAGAACATCCAAGTTGTTCCATTATGAATTCAACGAATCGTCTTGTTCCTATCGTCGATCTATTCCGTACAAGATTCCTCGCGGTGAGACACGACGGATAACGAAAAAATATGCCGAGAGACTTAACAAAGAGAGTTTGGCACGTGTACATAAACTATTGAACAAAGTCTCGTTACATAAATCGAAAGAAATTATATTTCTAATTTGCGCGGTAGGACCGTATAATCTCTTGCTATAACTCTCCTACCGGCATAACAAAAAATATATTGCGAATTTTTAACGAAAGGTACGATACGTATTCGCAAATTATCATCCGGTGCGGATGCGCGTTAAATATACGATATATAAAGCTGAAATATTAAACGTTTTTTAATATTAACGCATTGAATTTAATTTGTTACGTTGATACGACAAAGATGATTAATTTTAACAATTACACGTAGGGAATATATATATACACACAAACATATATATATATTATTATTATTATTAATTTTTAATTAATTATTAGCGACTATCATCATTGTTATTATTATAAAATAAAGTTTAAGACACGTTATCCGAATGTTATTTGATTAAAGCCGATCATCGGAGGGTATAGAAACATTTTCAAATATTTCCACACTTTGCTAAATCGCATATTTATTTGATTGCACAAAAGTACATCAAGGTTGAGTGTATACGTTATCGTTAACGTACACTCGTTCAATCTGCAAAACGAATATGCAAGTACCTCTATACTTGCGGGCAAATAAGAAATTTCTAAATTTATTGTTCGAAAGATAACGATAAAAAAATAGAATGTGAAACGGAGTATCGAGTCGGTATGTATTATATTATTAACGCGTTAACTGTCACCTCGAAGCTATGGAAAATCTATGAAAGATCCTACAGATAATAAATCGCTTATTTTTACGATACTTCGTTAAGCGTATTGTCCATTACTTCCAGTATGCGGTGCGAACATTTGTCAAGGAAAAAGTAATAGAATTGTTAATAACGCGAGGCAGTTGACGCGTTAAGAAAGAAATATACGATTGTAAATATCGCGAAAATAAGTTAATCGAATTAGCGCAGAAGGTTAATCGGCGAATAAAAGAAAATTGTGTTTCGTCCATTTGGTCGAAAAATTTTTCTCCGAATCGTGTTCTGTATTTACCTTAGACGAAACTGTACTTTCCACTACGATCGTTGTTAAATGGCTATATTCTTACGATCAGAGATTTCTTTACGTTCCGATAACTTTGTTCTAATGTCGGAAAGAGTACGACGAAATCGCTGGAAGTACTATCGACCGCGAAAACAATTTTATTTCGTTTGCTTCCCACTTTCAGTTTTATATTTCACACTGTACGCTTGCACCTGTAAGGCTCTGATCGAACAAACATCAAATTCCATTTTCACTCTGGTTTTTTTTACATTGGAAAATAGTAACCGTTCCCGTTCCGCTCAGCTTTTCCTCGTCGACAATTACCCAATCGGTAATTTCAAATATATTCGAGTATCGAAAAAATATTGAAAATTAAAATCAAAGTGAAAATGTTGTTTAAAATTATAATCTATACGTATATGCACATATTGATAGAAATGTTTCTGTGGTGCTTGGCTTTATATTAGATGAAACTTATTCTCTTGCACAAAAACTCGCAACGTTATTTCACGATTTAAGAAAGGAAAAGCGAATACTCGCGAGTTTACCTTCACAATATTTTCAGAATCGTTCGTTCTTTTATTATTATAAATTTATTGTTCGAAAGATAACGATAAAAAAATAGAATGTGAAACGGAGTATCGAGTCGGTATGTATTATATTATTAACGCGTTAACTGTCACCTCGAAGCTATGGAAAATCTATGAAAGATCCTACAGATAATAAATCGCTTATTTTTACGATACTTCGTTAAGCGTATTGTCCATTACTTCCAGTATGCGGTGCGAACATTTGTCAAGGAAAAAGTAATAGAATTGTTAATAACGCGAGGCAGTTGACGCGTTAAGAAAGAAATATACGATTGTAAATATCGCGAAAATAAGTTAATCGAATTAGCGCAGAAGGTTAATCGGCGAATAAAAGAAAATTGTGTTTCGTCCATTTGGTCGAAAAATTTTTCTCCGAATCGTGTTCTGTATTTACCTTAGACGAAACTGTACTTTCCACTACGATCGTTGTTAAATGGCTATATTCTTACGATCAGAGATTTCTTTACGTTCCGATAACTTTGTTCTAATGTCGGAAAGAGTACGACGAAATCGCTGGAAGTACTATCGACCGCGAAAACAATTTTATTTCGTTTGCTTCCCACTTTCAGTTTTATATTTCACACTGTACGCTTGCACCTGTAAGGCTCTGATCGAACAAACATCAAATTCCATTTTCACTCTGGTTTTTTTTACATTGGAAAATAGTAACCGTTCCCGTTCCGCTCAGCTTTTCCTCGTCGACAATTACCCAATCGGTAATTTCAAATATATTCGAGTATCGAAAAAATATTGAAAATTAAAATCAAAGTGAAAATGTTGTTTAAAATTATAATCTATACGTATATGCACATATTGATAGAAATGTTTCTGTGGTGCTTGGCTTTATATTAGATGAAACTTATTCTCTTGCACAAAAACTCGCAACGTTATTTCACGATTTAAGAAAGGAAAAGCGAATACTCGCGAGTTTACCTTCACAATATTTTCAGAATCGTTCGTTCTTTTATTATTAACGATTACCATTTGAACGTTATAGCAAGTAAGAAAAGAAAAAAAAAAAGTTAAAACATGCGTCCTGTCAAGCTCTTGAAGGGCACACTATTATATGCGGCTGAACCACCAGCACGTAGATTTCACTTTACTTCTCACGCTCGTATGATTTTTCCTGCATTTATCGAATCGTTCGATTACTCGCGACCACTCTCGCGGTTTTGTAACTCGCCGCTCTCGCTCGTAAATCGATGAGTAGCGTAAAATGCATACGATCGAATTTAACGATGAACGAATCGAGACGAGAAACGTTCGTAAGCAAACAGCGAATCTGTAATGCGGTGTGTGGTATGCTCCGAATAATCGAGTTCCACTGGCGTCTGACCAGCTACGCGGTATTTCACTTGCATGCACGTGTCCGACCGATCACGCGATCTTCCACTTCGCTGCGTCTCGCTACACTCTCCTCGTTAATCTCCCGATTAATCGCGCGATTCTCTACTGTTCGCTCATATCGCGTTTCGACCTCTGACGAACGTCCGATCGAACCGCATACTCGGGGGATCTATGCGTATCGGCTCTCTCCGTCCGAGTTGCTCCAACTTTTTTACGACACGTAACGTGTTGGATTTTTCGTACCCGAGCAAATCGTTATACGTATATTTTATTATGGAACCTTTCTAACCGAAGGTAAAAATCGCCCTTGTTAAAGCGTAAATTAAACGGCCTATTTTATCCGATATAAAATGTATGTAAATAATCGTGATCTTTCGATACCGACTCCTGGATGTTCGAACAGCGGTTTTCGTTTCGAAACGAACGCTCTAATAACGAGGGTGAAATTTCCAAAATATTATTATCTCGCGTTGCATGTTACGAAGCTATTCTCGGTTTCTGCTTATACGAATATCTGTTTACTTTTTTCGTTTCATTTTTCCACACATATTCATACGATCGATCTTCGCTAATTGATGCATTTAACTCACACGAATAATCTTATATACGTATTATGGAGGGATCTATATTTAATATACAGTTATTCTTTTTGCCAATAATGGATATTCAGGCACTTTTTAGCTTTACTATTTTTTTTCTTTTTCTTTTTAATAAGACAATGCTGTCTTCGTCGAAGAAATTACCACTCGAATTGTTTGTAATTGATGTAGTACGATTCGAATTTTTCACGTAAAATTCTGTCGAACGCTATAGCCTTGGAAAGTGGGCTTACCGAGAGACGGTATCGTCGGTTAAAAGGTGCCCAAAAGGTATAGTAGCGGTATCGTTCAATTGCGGTCAAGCGTTAAAGATTAATTAGAGTAAAAGAATTTAATCGAATCGACTATCGAGAAGCGGTGTACTGCTAAGTGCGTACTGTTCGTTGCGTTCAGTTATAACCATGATATTATCCTTTGCTCTTGAAGGTAATAGGTGGCGAGTTGCAGGAACGTTTGATACCAGTACCCTACAGCAAGAGTTCGACAGACCAAGCTGTAAGCGCTCCTCTCTGCTCTATCTTTCTCACTTTCGCTAAATCTAATCTTTTACTGTCTGTCTGTCTGTCTGTCTGTCTGTCTGCCTATCTGCCTATCTAATTCTGTTTGTTACTCGATGTATATCGAATAGAGAACACGTATACATACATAATAGAGCACAACAGACACGCACACAAACTTACCGTTTATCTGTCCGTCTTTAATTTATTTTTCTCTGATATATTCCATTTATACGTATACTTCACTGTTTATACACGAAGCTTTTCTACTTGCTCTTTATGCGATGCCGTTCGTTCGCGGCTGTCTGCCCTATTTGCTACTAAACGCTTCCTTCTTTTGTCTCTTCGCTGTTTCACTTATTTTCTTTTTTCGTACGGTACTCGTTTTACCTCTAGTCTTTCCATTCTTTGTCAGCACGTTCCTTCTCTTTTTAACTTTAAAGAGGTGTAACGCTGTGTAACGTTAAGAAGAAATAATATACTTGGTATTTCTCCGCGTGAAAAGGCTAGAGATTTTATAGTACATTTTTTGCTCTACTTGTTACGATTTTTATATTAATCCTTTTACTCCCATTTTTTCAACTAGTTCGCCGTTTACGAGACACGACAAAAGAAATGTACAAATTTTACTCCTTTATCTGTTACGTACACGCACACGATATAAACACTGACCAGTCGCGCACTCGAAGTAGCGCTTTTGTTCGGCCGCTTCTCTGTCTCTCGCTTGCGTCTCGTAATTACTGTTTCTTTATTATTTTTTCTTTGTTCGTTTCGCGTCGCGGGAGTTTCGCGCGAGCGATATTTTTCTTTTCGTTCCGTTGTCGAACGAAATTCGGTCGAAAACGAGTCGCCGACTGATCAACGACGAAACGAATCTGTACCCTACACGCGTTTCACTAATTTGCATACTTGTGACATGGCACTACGTTTTCAGTGATTTAGCCCCGAATTAGTAGCTCTACGATCTAGTTATAATTAGTAGCTTACACAAGGTAGATTTTCTAGCACTTTGACGGATAACACAGTAGGTACTACGCATGCATGATGAACAAACAACATACTTACACGCGTGCTCGATCACGAATGGATGCGAGATTCGATTTCGCGAAGACAAGAAACGGCTCGCTCGAAGAACATCGGTGTCGAGAATGTACAACAGCTTATCCGTAGATCGAACCAGGCGTCTCTTCGTATTT